TTTATTCCCTCATAATATGAGGGTAACGATCCCTATAACCAGTGTTGTTGTTAGGCTTATATAAGATAATGGTCATAAAGTACTTATTACCATGCCTCCATAAATATATCTCTTCTTCTTCTTCTTATAATAATTATTATTATTACTATTATGGTTATTAGGGGCCTAACAATTATTCAGTTTGAAGCATGGTACACAGATATTGTGCCCTAGTTGATATGATAATATACATATTTCTTGAAACAGTTGAGATAGAGTTCATGCTTTGAAGTTTCTGTATGGACTTTATTAAAATGGTCCTAGCTGTTAACACAACATACTATATATTCAAATATTTTTCTTATAATAATAGACATAACATGTATGTTTCATTTAATCCAAAAATTAAAAATTGGTTGTCTTTAATACCAGGTAATAATAATGACCTAAATATACATAATATTTTTTCATATTTTTCCAAAGACATTTTTGTTGATATGGTTGCTTAATATGTGTTGTCATTTTAATACAACTTACAAATTGTGATAAATGACTTCAAAGTAAGGGAAATTTCCAGACTCTCTTTTCCCTATTAGCCTTTCTGTTTTTCATTGTTCTATATTTCCTTCTAAAGTAGTAGTCTTCAACCTCAAATATACATTGGAATTACTTTTGGAGCTTTCAAGAAATCCTGATGCCCAGGTCATATCCTGATTGATTATCAGAATCTCTCATGGCAGAACCAGGCTCCAGGATCTCACGTGCTTTCAGTGCCACCAAGTCTGTGAATCAATGACTGAGAGTTTAGTAGTACACATTCAGAACAACAGTCAGGTGGGAATGTAGAACAGATGGGGTGATGCCAGCAGAGGGATAAAGGTAAGCAGTTGATGATCCATCTCCCAATGACTGGGCGGCAATCCAACCTGTACTCAGTGCCTATTATCTACAAGCCACTGTACTGGGAGAAGTATACACAAAAAGTATAAGACAAACCCTACACACCCTTAAATTAATATAAGCTAGACTCTACCACATATAAAAAAGAATAAGACGAGCATTAAGTGACAGCAACATATAGTACCAGAGATCAAAATGTCAAGATTTTGAGGTGGACTTGTGGATTGAATTTGTTTCTGGGCACTTTTTTCTTAGACCTGCCTCTCCAAAAGTCTATGCTCATTTTTGCCTATTGGCATTTACCTATGTTGCTCCCCACATCTTGAATGCCATCCCTCTTCTCTCTGTGACCGAGACCCTCATGGTTAATAAGACCTCAGCTTTCCCTCTGTATTTGTTATCATGCAGCTCACTGGTAATGTGTTCTTGAAGTCTCTATGCAGTTCATGCCTTTCTTCAGTTCTCCATGCCCTTATAGTTTCCCCATCTTACACAACCTTTTAATCTGCTGGGCTAGGGTTCTCACAGTCCTGATTTTTCTTTTGAAGAGCATGATAGGCTTTAGAACACCATGACCTCATCAGCCATCGTCTGTTAAAGGTATCAGTTACCTGGAGAATGCTCCTGGCCTTGGGCAGTATAAGAGAATAAAGAATATGGAAGGGGCGCCTGGGTGGCTCAGTCGTTAAGCATCTGCCTTCGGCTCAGGTCATGATCCCGGTGTCCTGGGATCGAGCCCCACATCAGGCTCCCTGCTCTGCTCTGTCTCTTTGTCAAATAAATAAATAAAATCTTTAAAAAAAAAAATATGGAAAAAAAAAATTAACCCTCTCTGTGTTAATCATTAGAGCTTATTTTCCCTTTCATCAATATGACAGCCTGAAGCCAACTGTAAGGAGGACAGAAACAGTGAATTCTGTTTAAATGTCATTAAAGTTATGTGAATAGCACATTACTCCTGAACCTTGTTTGGTCTTTTAGAGTGGGCCTTTCAGAGTTGACTTTTAGTGGACAAAAGATTGATTCCCTGTCACTGCAAGGACTTGTAGCGTGAGGGCCCATAATAGGGGCATGATAGATGCTAGTTGAACTGAATTGAATTCGCTAGTCTTAGAGAGATGTTGTCAGTGAAAGAGAATATAGTTCATTCTCATAAGACAAGAAGCATTGCTTGTAAGTACTTATTGACGTATTTGAGCAGAGTGGATTAAAATACCTCCTTGCCTATGCCATTAATGATCTGTGTTATTTTATTTCGTTTTCCCATGCCGGTTACCAGGGCTGATTCTAGGCAGAATTCTGAGTTCAGAAAACTGTGTCTTCATTTTCTCTCCCTTGTGACTTGATAATTTTCCCTTGGGTAGAGGCCACTGAACTTTCCCTCTTCCCTCACTTCTGTCTATATATACCAGTGTTTTATTCTGAAGCACCATTCTTCCTAGGCAATTCTTGCTACCTCCGCAAAATTGACTAATAAGATAAATAGTAGACAGATAATTTGTTTAATAAAACCAAATCCAGGTTAATGTGCTCTTGGGAAAAGGGTAAAACCCCAACCCTTTTCCTTGCTTAGTAAATCAATTACATTTAATTAATGTTTTCTCCAGACCACACCCCTTGCATAAACGCAAAGGAGTGGTTTTTATAATGATACTTTCAAGTCAGAAAGAAAGGTGGGGGTCTCTATAGAAAAGGAAAACTGAAGGAAGGAAGCTAGTGTTTGTTGAATGATCATTCTGTGCGAGGCACTTTGCGGCAAGCTATATACACATGATTTTATTAAATCTGCACACCGTATCTATGAGACAGATTCTGTTGTTGTCCTGATTTTATACATGAGGAAACTGAGACTCAGGGGAGGTTAAGTGACCTCACCAAGGTAAAAAAGCAAATAGTGATACTAAATCCACATTCTCTGCACTACCTCTTAATGTGTCCTAAAGCTAAACTACTTTCAAGGGTTCAGAGTGAGGCCCAGCTGGTGCCATGAGAAATAGAGACGAGGCTAAATCCCCCATCTTGCAGTAATCAGTATCTCTTGGCATGTGTGGGGCTCACATCTGTGTCTTTGCCTGCCTTTATGTGGGACTGCGCATAGAGCGAACCTCCTCTGCTCAATATAGAGCTATGTGCTGTGGTGTAGTTTGTCTCATTCTGCTCCCCATCTGGAGTGATCTCCCTCCTGGGCTCTGCTCCGCAAATGCTTCATGGATGACTGTACTCTCTGACTTCCTGCCTGTATCTCCACTACTTTCCCCCGTGTCCCGTAGCTGACCCCCAGCCTCAGCTCATTGTCATTACAGCTCTTCGGAATCTACCAGACACTTCTGTCCCCTCCCAATGTGCTTGTCTCATTGTTATCTATACCACAGTTGCTTTGGGATTGGTTTTGAAAGTGGGTGAATCTTCAAACTCTGATGGCATCCAAATTCAAGTGAAGGTTGCAACCACGCTGCCCCGTCACGTGGGGCTTCCCAAGCTCCTGTACTTACTACTCTTGCTTCACAGTCCTTTTGCCCTTCCACATGGGTATACCACCAGGACCTGTCCTGCTGACCTCCACCAAATGAGAATTAGCCCTGACCAATTAAGCTGTTACTGAGGACAGGTGTGTTTCCACTTGTGAAACTCCATCAGCTGCACAATATTTGCAGTCTTTTGGAGTGTGTGTCATCTAAACAAGCATGACAGAATCAGTGTGGTGGGAAAATAAAGATTTGTGTTTATTCTATTATCCCATTTCCCTCCTGACCCCTCTGCAAGCCAGTAGCCAGCCTTTTTTCAAGCAGCAAAAATTGCTTGAAGTTTCTGCTAGTTTCTAACACTTAGTTTTGTTGTTGTTGAGACTAAACCCACTGAAGACATTTTGCTGGGTGTTCTGAGAGGGAGGAGGGGCTTTTGAGGGTCCTATGAGGGAAGATGGGGAGATACCAGCAGAGAAGTTCCTGGGGAATAGTTAGAATCTTGGTGGAGGCTTGTGGCTCATTCTAAGGTGTTGTCCTGGGGTGGAGACAACATTTCAGAGGCTTAGGTGCTTCTAGCCAGAAGCAGTAGGGCCTGTGGGTATGAGGAAGCCCCTTTGGGTTGGGAAACTGGGCATCTCTGATAACCAGAGTGGCCAGTTACTGGAGGAAACTCTCAGATACTTTCGCATCATGTAAAAATGGTGATGATGATGATGATGATAAATAATTACTGCACACTTAAGTGCAAGACATTATCCTAAGAGCCCTGGATACATTAACTCATCTAACTGCTCAATAACCCTGTGAGGTAGTTACTGCCGTTACTCTCCATTAATCGTCAAGAGGTTAAGTAAGTTACCCAATGTTACACACTAGTAAGTGGCAGAACCAAGATATATATCTAGGTAATGTGGCTTCAGAACCTTCAAGGAATGTCATTTCGGACCTCTCCTAAATGACACTGGGAGACCTTTGCATGACCTTGAATTCGAGGTGGCAGTGAATAGGAGAAAAAAGAAACCCTGTAATGACTAAAAGTAAATTTCCCACCACCTAGTGAGGCAGAGATTGAGTGTTATTTAGGTTCATGGAAAGGAAATAAGGAAACGTGACATTTCTTGTATTCCTGGTTTGTGAACCAAGATTGAAGCATTTTTCATATCTAAAATAACTTATTTTCTAAATATTAGCATTACCACCAACCAATGTAGGGGAGGAGTGAACTTGAGACCGCATGATTAATTTAATCTTGCATATTTTGTTCTCTCGTCAGGTCGAGAGTGCCTGCTGATTCTCCCTAGCTGTGTGGCTCTCTAAAGAGACCTTTTCCCACTGATCCCTACGGGGGGAAACACAGCGAGATGGTAAGTGAGCTGTGCACTCTATGAAGATGGATGTCATGGTAACCTCATGAACGAAGGCCAGTGATTCTGAATTAGGCGGGTGGGCCTTTGTAGGACACGTACACATGCGGAGGCATTGATTAGAAAGCTTCCTGTTGTTTTTCAGTATTTGAAGTGTATCATTATACTAAAACAAAATAAAACAAAAAACAACTTTGGGAGAAAATTTCCTTCCTATTTACCAGCAGCTTGAGGTCATGATTTAGACAGACTTTCTCAAGGAGGAATGAAAGAGGAGGAATCATTTAGATACCCCAGGGAGTGATTTCAAGATGGCTGTGAGCTGTGGGATAAACCTCGATGGAGAGGTGGTAGCTACAGGAAGAACCGCAGTTTGCAGCCGCACGGATTTTCTTGCAGTGCTTTGAATAGGCTGAGCTGTTCTTAGCTCTGGATCTTTGTACTTGCTGGGCCTTTTGTCCAGAAATCTCTTTTTCCGTTTGCCTCATAGCTGGCTCCTTCTCATCCTCCATGCCTCAGTTCAGTGTCACGTTAGGCAGTCTTTCCTGGCCACTTTTTCTAAAATTGGTCCCCTCCCTCCCTGATCTACCATCTCAGCATCCTATTTCCTCCATTGTAGTATTATTATCTTCAATATTTTATTTGCTTACTTTTTCTTCAGGTTACTTATTTGATTTGCCCTCCTCCTGCCTTCCTGCCTTAATGTAAGCTCCATGAGGTTAGAGACCATGTTTGTTTTTTTCACTCCAGTCTTCAGCATAGTGTTGTTTTTTTTTTTTTAAATTAAGTAATCTCTATGCCTAACATGGGGCTCGAACTCACAACCCAAGAGTCGCAGGCAGCAAGAGTTGCACGCTCCACTGACTGAGCCAGCCGGGAGCCTCACTTGGCATAGTGTTTTGCACAGAGAATGTCATTAATTAGTATCTGTTGGGTAATGTATGAATGAAACTCCTCGGAGCCAGGCGTGAATGTACAACTGCAGTTCCTTTTTCCACCCCTTGGTAGTGGTGCGCTTGAAAAAAACTTATATTCATGGTGCTTTAATAGGATTCTTTTCATATTATTATATTTATTTGACTGGGCCTTAGGCTTCAGCTCTGTAGAAGATTATTTTATTGTCTCTGTGTCAACCTGATTCTCCACCACAACTTCTGCCTCTGGTTTTAGCTGCTTAACTTGGTTTCTCCCAAATTCTGCTGCTTTAATTCTTAGCAGTGGTTCCTGTCATTGTTACTGACTTGACTGGGTCTTCCTTCTCTTCTGCTTTAAATTCTCATAGCAGATGAGTTCCAATTAAGATAAAAATAATTTATTGAACAAAAATAAGCTATACTCCTGCAAAAGAAAAACAAGAGGCAGCAGATCCTAGCATAATTTTATATCAGTAACTTCACCTTAATTAAACACAATTTTAAAAATACACAAACTACTTTTTCAGTTCCATATTCCAGTTTGATGCTTGACAAATCTACTGTGGGCAACTTTTGAAAGTTTCTCTAGAAAAAATATCTACATTTACATCATGTTCTCTAAGGACCTCAGAGTGCCCAAATTCTCTGAGTCAATTTATGTGATGAGACATATGCCTAAAATGTCCTTATTAAACCTCTTCACTAGTGGCAAACCCTGGAAATTAAGGGAAGAATTCTTATCAGGAATCTCGTGGCTTTCTCAGAAAAGACTAAAAAGTCCTCTTCGCTAGATGCCTTCATTCTAAGGAAGAGATTTGGGATTTTGAACTTCAGCCAAAAAGGAAAAATTCTGCCCCAAGATTAGAGCTTCCTCTACTTTCTGATTGATGCCAGAGTGTTTCTAATTTTGTGTCTGAACTGAAATCATATTATCTGCCTGCTACCTAACTTCTGAGGTCTTTTAACACCCTCTGCCTCAATCGAGAATAGAACCATACTCAGAAATTTACCCTTATCTTAGTTGGTGTCCCTTCTGTGCATCAGATGGAGCCTTTAAATTATGTTTTGGGGGAGCAGGCGGGAGAAGCAGCTGGTATGAGAAGTGAGCAGCCTGACAACAGTAAGATTGAGACGTGTGTGCGTGTGCGTGTGTGTGTGTGTGTGTGTGAAAAGAGAGCAAGTGCCACAACATGAAAATTTGCCCAAGAAATTGTAAACTTTACAGTCTGTTCTCCAGAGCTAACAGTACCTTAAATGTGCCAGGTAAAAAGTCAGTAAGACTCTGGACATCATGAAAATCAGAACAGCAGAAACTTGGATTAATACTAAGGCCTGAAGGATGTACAGTGAATTTCGGTGATACATTATAATATTACTTTTTTGTATTTTTTAAAGTTATAATTCCACTTAATTCTTTAATTTAATCTGTAAATATTTGTTGTGCTGCTATGCTGTGTCAGCTCCTGTCACAGGCTCTGGGGAATGGGCCAGAAACAAAACATAGGATCTGCTTTCATGGAATTTCTGGATTTTCTTTAAATGAAAGAACGTTGAGGCTATTTTGGAATTGCTGTCACTATTGCTTTTATATAATGAAATGAACATCATCCCTTTATTTTAAATTTGAATTATTAATAAATTATTTTAACATTTGGTCTGTTGCAACAATTCATTTTATAGAGCTATCTAATTTAAATCTTTCAACTCTTTATCTAGGATGTTGCCTGAGATTGAAAGTCTAAATATCCTTTATGTTAGCCCAGACTCTATATAATAATCTCTATTACATGTAAATGTAAATAGAGATTATATGTAAATAGAGATTATAAACTATATATTTTTTGAATCTTTTTCATTGTGTGAGAATTTCCTTTTTCTTCTCTTTCATTCAAACCTAATTAATTAAGGTACTATATGAACATTTGAAATGTTAAAAACATGCACAGAGGTGTGAATTGTAAGAGTAATTCTCTACTTCTCTTCTTGCCAGATTCTTCTCCCTGGAGGCAAACTATGGTTATGAGTTTTTGTGTGTACTTCAAAAAATATTCGTCACAGAAACAAATATATACATTTACATACACATACATATTCTTTGCTTTTTCAAACACAAGAATTATAACACGCATATTTTTCTGCACTCCTTCACCCAACAATGTATTTTTTATTCCCTGTCAGTATGTAGGGAGTTCTTTTTAATAGCTATATATGATTCCAGTGTATAAATATACTGTATTTATTTAACCAGCTCTAAGTGATGAGCATTTAGGTACTTTCCAATCTTTCCAAATAATACAACAATGAATATCCTTGTACGCGTATCATTTAGCAAATGTTCACATGTAGAAGAAATTTCTGGAAGGGGAATTTCTGAGTCAAAGGTGTGTGCTTTTGTATTTTTGATAAATATTGTTAAACTGCTCTCTGTATAAGTTGTATTAATTTACACTTAGCAATATGTAACTACCTATTCCTCAAAATCTTGCACAAAGAATGTATCGAAGTTTTTTTTTTTTTTAAGATTTTATTTATTTATTTAACAGAGAGAGGCAAAGTGAGAGAAAGAACACAAGCAAGGGGAGTGGGAGAGGGAGAAGCAGGCTTCACGCGGAGCAGGGAGCCCGATGCGGGGCTCGACCCCAGGACTCCGGGATCATGACCTGAGCCAAAGGCAGCCACGTAGCGACTGAGCCACCCAGGCGCCCCTATATCGAAGTTTTTGATTTTTGTCAGTCTAATAGGTGGAAAATGATACCTCTTTGTAGCTTGAATTTGTATTTCTCTTATAAGAAGGCTGAGCAGCTTTCATATGTTTAAGTCATCAACATTTCCTTTCGTATAAACTGTTTATAATCAGAAAGAAGAATGGATATTGAGGAATAGTTGGTAGTGGACGCCACAGGCTCCTATTTTATTTATTTTCTAGATGGCTAGTACTGTTCCAACAGTACTTATTAAGTAATTCGTTTTCACCCACTCTTTTGAAATGCCACTTTGTTAATTTTTGTATATATATATATATATATGT